CAATTTCTTAATTCCCAAAACAAATTCATCTCAGGTTTAAAGGTGCAATATGTAAAAATGAAATAAAAAACCTAAGTCCTAGTGGTCAAACGTAGCTACTGCAGCCCATTTTTCCAGACAAAAAGTCCCTTTCTCACTCTTGTTTCAAGGCTCTTGCCAGACACAGATCAGTGCCAAAAGATTCTAGATGACACGGAAAGAGGAGTTATACACAGTAAGTTGATTAGTAGATAAATACATTGTCATATTTGGTGTCAGCACTCTTGGGTGTTTTATGGTAGGAAGTACTTACCACACTTTCTATGGTACTATGCCTTCAATATTACAGGCAGTGTAGTAGCTTGCCATTTTGCTGCTAGCTTCTGTTATAGTTCTGAATGACTTATTTAAAGAAGTAAAACACCACGACGGACTCATTATTCGCTTCACACGTGCATGTCACTGTAATATCAAGTTGTTGGTAATTGAAAAGGTAGCTCGAGATATTTTTAAAGGAAACTATTAGCTTCTAATTCACCATTAGCATTATTAGCTCAAAGTTAGCTTTTAGCCGGTTTCACCATATATTAGAGTAAAACAAAAAGATGTTGTGACTTCTTAGGGGTACAAGAAATAACTTCTGGGTAACTCCTGTTTACTGGCTTTGGTTCTTTAAACAACTCTGGAGCTTTTTGCCATCCGGTGTCAAATTATAAATACTGGTGCTGCAGCATTAGCTCGGCACAGACTCTGCAATCTCACAGACTCAGTGCGGTTACGTACACGCGACCGACATCTAAGTTGATCCAAATCAATCTTATTGTAGCTAGTTGGGAGTCTTTATCCTAGTTTACATGCTCAAGTTTGTTCCACTCCGGTACAGTAGGTGGCGACATACCGCTTTTCATGTCAGATTTCTTCCAGTTAGCTTATAGCAACACAAGCAGTAAACAGACGGAAGCAGATGGAATTTAAACAGGATATGCACAATGGCTAAACGAATGTACAACAACGTTGCGGCACAGCTTTGGTATGTGCTGTCCAGTTTTATGGTATTACGTGTGTTGCTTTGTGATGATGGTCTTGTCAGAACACCACTTCCGCGATCTCGTCACTTCTGGAGTGCGAGCGTCTTAGCGGTTCAGCTCGGCTAACCCGTTTACAAATAGATTGTAATCAGATTGCTACTGCATTATATGGGTGCTTAAGCTCAATTAAAATCAGTCCGCCTTCAGTCACACTAACATGTTTACATGCAATTGAAAAAACTGACATGAGTCTTTTTAGGGAAATAGTTCAGTTTTCTGATGTCCATGTAAACCCACTGATGTAAACCGTAACTACGTCCCACTTTGAGTTTTTTGAAAGGAGAAAAACTGACAACCCACGGACAGCTAAGAATGAAATCTGTTTCAGTAACACCATTTCAGCATGATTGAGACGTTGGACTGTTTTGCGATTATTTCACTGTAGAATTCTTCCATATTGCTCCTTTAAATAATAATGCAAACTACACTCTATACCCAGCTAATTTATTTCAGTTAAACATTTTTTCTATCCCCACATGCTACTGTCTGATTAAAAAGCCAAAATCTCAAGATGTGATTCAGGCACATATTTGGATGAAACGTATTTCCTTGTGTTTTCTTCTGATCTCTCAGAGTTGTGAATTCTGATCAATGGAAAATTTGATATGTGAAAACTAACTTGTTTCTTCTCCAGTCCCAGTCATTTCTGCCTGTGTCTCCTCATCATTTAAGTTCGCGTCAGGCCACATCTGAAAGTCTAACTTTTTTTTGATAAGCAGCAGTGAAGTCCGTTCTGGCCTGAGTAACTAAACAGGTTCCAGCAAATGAATTTCACAGCATATGAGAGAGACGCCACGTTTCAACACCCCAACGCCCAACAACATCATAGTTATCAATTCCAATTTTGAGATGGTTTGGCTGCAAATACCAACTTGGGACTTCAGTACCCTGTAAGCGGATACGTATGTTCTCAGGCATGTTAAGCTGCACCGTTCAAGTTTTACTGTAAAAATCCCCTAACCATTTTAGATTCCCACTCCTAGACATGTTGCATCCCTATGACCATTCTAATACTGCAAGATGTCAAATTCAAAGTAGAATCTGAGGCTGATGTGTGACACCTGTAACTGTGGCAGAAACTTTGTACTGAAACATCTCTTCCAAGTTTGACAGCATCCATTCTGCAACAGTTGGCGAAGGTGGATGTACTGGTTTTCTTGAGTCCACTTAAGTTCCTGTTTCATTAAGAGACAGGTCAGGATGGGTTGGAACGCTATTTGGTTTGTTTCTGTTATAAAAACATGCCATAAAACCGACCCGGACAGCACCATTCACGGCCCCCCTTCAATTGTAGGTCCATAGAACAATGGAGCTGTATGGCTATGGCTGCTTATGACAAGCAAAATAAACAGAGTGCTCTTGCTTGTGTTGTTATTTGTACATGGATGTTAGATCATGCTAACATTTAGTAGCAAGGTTTGGTCGGCTTCAGAACTACATTTTTTGCTATTGTCGTCGATAACCACATTCAAGATGGTACACATTTAGGTTTAACCCCACACGGCCCACTCTGACCCGTTCTGACCCAGACCATTCCGCTCAATGAAGCCAAAGCTTTACCGTGAATTTGAACAACGTTTGGAGCAGCTTATGACTCAATTCTCCAACCATTTCCAGCCAAAGTCGAAGATGGCAGACCTGACCCCAGTGCATTGGAGTTGTTGGATTTCCTGAGGATGTTGGCGGTATGCACTCTACTACTTTTCTTACCTCGTCTCTTTGTTGATATTATTAGAAAACAGATACTCACATCACCAGTAACCCTGTAATCTCATCAACACTAAAGAAAATACCTGCTTGTTTAACAAGCTTGCCACTAATTCCCGTAAGCTCTGGTATTATGATGAAAATGAATACGGTCATGAGGTGTTCAGTGTGTACATGCAAAGTCAGCTTGAGGAGAGAAAGAGAGCAATATAAAATTCTGTACAAGGCTGAAGAAATGAAGCCACAAACTGGGTTAAATTCATTATGGAGTATACTGAAGCTGAGAAGGTACCGACTGAAACTTTCTCCGGCTTTTTAGAAACATCGACTACCTTTACCATCCATGTCATGGGGAGTTTAGAGCAATAGTCAAAGCAAGAGTGTGATCTGGGTGTAATATGGTAAGCTGATTCCGCTTCCATGAGTTCCTATTGAAATCCAGATGTGTGAAGCTGGTGGTGACAAATGCAAACATGCTGAACTCCTTATTTAAAAAAAATCTTTAACCATTATCTAATTTAGTGCAACAGTTGAAGAAGTGACCCTGACTTAAACCTGCCTGGCTGAGATGAGAAACTTAAGGCCCACAATTTCAAAGACACACACACACACACACACACACACACACACACACACACACACACACACACACACACACACACACACACTTTTATTGCACCTGGGTTAGTTTATGCTGCCTCACGTCTTCGCTCTGTTCTCTTTTGAACCGTTAGCTCTGATACTCTCTCAGTGGTTCAAACACGCTGTAACTCTATCCTTTGTTACAGCTCACGTCGGCAATTACGTCAGCTTAAAAGAAGCTGAGCTATTTTACCTTTTTGGAGGAACAAGAGCAAAGCCATTCACCTTGTAGAAAAACAAAACACATCATGAATTCACAGAGTTATCAAGGATTTTCCCTCTCATGGACTGGTGGATAAATAAAATATGTGCAGCAGCTTCAGAGTTCAAATGTTCAACAGTTTTCCACCGGGCCATTTGCACATTTGTATTGGAGAGCCCTTGGAAACGTTCTGACCAGCAAAACTGATTACACAAAGATGACTATGACATGTGCTGTCTCTGTTCAACATCTGCTGTTGGTCCACGACACAAAGAAACTCAAATCAGAAACTGGCTTCACTAATACCTGTGGGAATTCAGACAAAGACAGGAGGGGGAAATGTGCATTTATAAACACAACACGGGCCAATCTGAGTAGTTTGGGTCTTTAGATTACAGCAGTGTGTTAATATTTATCACAAGCTGAATTAAATGACAACATTATAGCATACTAAGTGTTTTAGTTAAAGAGCCAACAGTGGATACAGCAGTACAGGCATTTATGTTTCTGACGTGCATCAACTGGACAGTTTTAAACAGATAGTTTGGATTCAGGTTATCCAGCTGCTGCTATGTTGTTTATATTATCTTCAGGCTGGACTTCAGCACAGACAGCCTGCACAACAGCTGAGGTGACAGCGGGTAAATGCTGTTGAGTTGGTAAGCTGCTGAAAAGTTCCTGAAACAGAAATTGAAAGGCGTGTTTCCACGTATCCAGACATCAAGGTAATTTTGTCAGAGCTTCACGGAATGTGCAATGGAGAATTGCTGTCTACATTGAATTTTGGTCTAAAACACTCAGAGCATATATAAACATCAATAATTGTCTTAAATGAACTTCTTTCATTTGAAAATACATATTTTCTGAAAAGGCCCATGAGCCGTTGCTCTGCTTTCTTCTCAAAATTCCCATGCAGCAATGGACTGTGGTTAAAACCCTCGGCCGCAAAGTGCGGATCAATGCAGGCTTAGATCAAGGGTGCAAAAGGGGTGTGGTTATCTTCTGGACTTGAGCATCAAGAAACGCTACGCACTTGCACCCCTGGCTGGTGGAAGTGCAATTGAAGGGCACGAGGGTGGAAGTACGAGTACTGGGACTGGGCCAGACTGTCTTCTTCTGCAGTACAACAGCTCAGTGTGAGCTTACAATGTCCCTAGAGTTCATAACACAACTTTTTTTCTAATTTCCAAAAGCACTTGACACTACACTCACTCATTCACACGTTCACACGCTGATGGTGATGAGCTGCCCTGGGGCAGACTGACTACCACCAGAGATGGTTACAGTTTGTCTTTCCCAAGGACACAACAGCTGACCTATGGTGCTCACAAAACTGTCTCTAATGAAAATGAAACGATGAAGATGTTAGGGATGACACATGTAGAGGTACAAGACAATCCAGAAGGAAGTGCTTTGTCCACCAACTCAAAAAGGAAAAGATAAAAGTAAAACAAATATAGCAGCAAAGACCAGCACGGTGTGGTGGTTCAGAATAATTGTGAGTTTTCCACTAAATGATAACAAAATTAATTGTGATTCATAATTTCAGTAAACACACATAGATAAAGTAGCAGGTGTAATACCTGCAAATCAAACTCAGGTGTGACAAATAAATGAGAAACAAAACAATCAAATGAAAGCAAAATAAAAATGGAAGGAAAAGAAAGAATTAATTTAAAAGGAGTCACCAAAATAAAATATCTACGTAGATTTACTCTATTTTCTTAATATACTGATGGGATATACTGCCTGATAACTGTGGCAATGGCTCATCAAACACCCGCTGGTGGTTGTCTAGCATTCACACAAACATTCAAGCAGCTTTCCATCCAGAGAAGCTAAGAGGCAGGCACTAGGACCTGCAGCTTTCTGCAGACACACAGATCTTACAGCGTCTGAGACGCTTCTCACTTTCTTTCTGAACAATTTTCAAACAAGTGCAAGAATCAGAGAGGACTGTTTGGAATAAACGCATGCTCCCTGATGTGGGATCCTCTGGATTTGGACGTAAACGGGAATATAATATAATCTGACATCAGGGAAAGGAGGCAGCACTTCCTTAAAGGTAGAAGACTTTTGTGTATGTATCTACTGCAAACTGCTAGTTTAAAAAGCCAACAGCTAGAAAGTATTTTATTTTTTATGGAAAGAAACTCTGAAGATGATGTATTTGGATCCTAAAGAGTCGTATATTTGTAGCCACAACTTACAGGGGGTGATTAAACTCATGTAAGATTCATTTTTGTTCTCTTGTTTTGCATTTATGAAAATGAAGTTTAAAAAGATTGTTTTTGCTTATATTTATTTAAAATTTTAGCTTGTAAATAAAACAGAGAGTTCGTCTGTTCCATCCTTTAGGAAACTGTTGAAGCTTTTCCTCACCGATTACAAAAGTTCAGCTCAAACATGCACAAAATCTGCTGGAGCAATGATCTTGGGCGCTCCTGTTTGTGCATTAGGATGGTATGTTAGGTTGTAAACAAGGTATTAGCTGCAGGGGTGTCTTCTCAAATTATGTACAACAAGATTATTGAGTTCCTGACATTAAAGCCAATTATCATGTTTGAAAACACTCAGAACGTACTTTTAACCATTCTCACGCCTCGGTTCGGTAACCTTAAATGCCTCTGGACTACAAAATTCCTGCTGCAGTTGATTTGTTTTTGCATGAAGTAACTTTGCAGAAAGAAAGTGAGACTGATAAATGAAAAGAAAAAAATCAGTCATGCACCAGACTCATTTTCTGTTAACTGGAACAAGAAAGAAAATGCACAGCTGAAAGGAAAGCTTCTCTGCACACAGACAATAGAGGCAGTAGTCAGTTTCCAATGACAAAAAGAGCCACATCAGAGGGGGTGGGCTGCAGGTAGGATGTTGGACTTTCACTGAAGCAGGTTTTTAAATTGTTTATTTTTGTTTTTTAAAATTTAATCAAACTTTTATTTTCATTCAAGCTTAATTTTCTGCCACGAAGAGCAGATTTTTGTTCTTTCTTGTCTCTTGAAGGATCTTTGGAGCAACAAGTCCATAGTTGGTGGCCAATGCTTTTTAAAGGAAAACTTGCAGTGCCGTTTAAGTTTTTCTCATGCAATTAAGCACATAGTTGTGGTCGAACGTACGCTGACTCAACAAATAAACTGGAGCATTGGCAGCTTAAATGATTTCTTTATGTCTGGCTTCGCATCATAGAAAAATACAAATAAATGAAAATTGAAAGTTCAAAGCTCCACTTGCAAAACCAAACGGGCAAAAGTTGGTGCATTGCCTGGTGAGAAACTCAATATCCTCAGAGCAATCTCAAGTATGCTAAGTATGTGATATGTTTTGATCTGCAGACGAATTTTACTACACTTCCATTTTTGGTTATTTTTTAAAACACAGGAAAGGTTTCTCTTTACCTTGCTGACAGGTTCGTTTGCATCTGCAAACATCCGCAGAGCTGACGCTGATGGTGGCATCACTTCCTACTCCGTTTATCCGTGGGCAGCAGAGGGCGACAACGCCCTCTGCTGCCTGCTCTCCCCTCTCCGACGATGCAGTCCCATGCGCGGTCTAACGTGTAAACTCCATCGTCCCTGTTCATGGTCCCACATCCACGTCTCCTTATCTCGATAGCTTCCTTGATCCATCTTTTGTATTTCTGTTGTTCGGTGTTTATGATCCTTGTGTTGTCCCGGTCCATTACATGGTTTTCTCTTGTGCAGTGATCTGTTACGGCTGACTTCTTTATTGTGCTTTCTGCTTCTTGTTTTGCTGCTCTTGTGTGTTTTTGACGTGTTTCTCTCTCACACTCCTTTCTATGTTCTATTGTTCGTGTGTTGAGTTGGCATCCGGTTTCTCCTATGTATGTTTTACTGCAGTTTGCATGGGATTTCGTAAACAACTCCACATTTATGTCCAGCTGGTATCTTATCTTCTGGGTGTACTAGTCTGTTTCTAACTGTTGTGTATGGTTTTGTTGGTGTGTTTATGTTGTGTTTTTTCATTGTTGCTCTTATTTTTTCTGTTATGCCTTTGATGTATGGTAAGGTTATCACTGGTTTTGGTTCTTATTTTTCTGGGTTTCTGGTTCTTTGCTTAGGTTGTTCTTTTCTTTCTGTTGTTGTTTGTTGTTTTCTTTTGTTTATTGCCCATGTCGGGTATCCACAGGTCTTTAAAACGTGTTGTATGTGTTTGTCCTCTTGTTTACAGTCTCTCTCTTCTGTTATTATGTTTGCTCGGTGATATAATATTCTGTGTATGGTGGGGTGTTCTGATGTCCATAATAAGTATTGGTCTGTGTGTGTTGGTTTCCTGTATGTGTTTATGTTTAGGGTCCCGTCGGTCTGCCTGGTTATTTTCATATCCATAAATGCTATACTGCCTTCTGTGTCTGAGTCATATGGGAACTTTATGCTGCCTGTGTCGTCAATGTTATTTAAGTGTTGTGTTAGTGTTTCCGTTAGTCCTTTTGGTATGATTTCCAGTATGTCGTCTACGTAGCATTTCCATAGTTCTATTTTGCAGTTTGGGGGGGCAGTGCCTATGGCTTTTTGTTCCAGGTCTTCCATGAAAAACTCGCACAGGGTGGCTGATAACGGGTTGCCCATGGCGAAGCCTTCCAGTTGTTTGTATATTGTGTTATCGTATGTGAAGTAAGTGGAGTTAGCTACCAGTCCTATCAGTTGTGCTATGTCATCTGCTGTGAGGTTTGTTCTTTTGTGTAAAGTTTTGTCCTGTCTGATTCTGTTAACTACTATGTCTATGGTTCTTTGGGTTGGTGTTTTTGTGAACAAGGATGTGACGTCATGTGAGATGAGTATATCGTTATCTTTTATTGTAATCTTTTTTAGTTCTTTTGCCAGTTCTATGCTATTTTTGCAGTGTTGGTCTGTGTTACCTAATAACGGGCTGATGATTTTGCTGATTTATTTTGCCACGTTGTATGTTGGTGTACCTATGCTGTCTACTATTGGTCTAAGTGGGGTGTTGTGTTTGTGTATTTTTGGAGTTCGGTATATTCTTGGTATTATGTTTGCTGTAGGAATCCAGTGTTTGTACATTTTTTTCTGTTATTTTGCCTTTTATATTTGCCGTTTGTATTTTTCTTTGTCCATTACCACTGTGGTTCTTCCTTTGTCTGCCGGTAGAATAATTATCTGTTCATTTTTGGATAATGCTGTCATGGCTGATTGTTCTTCTTTTGTAATATTGCTGTGTTGAATGTTGCTGTTCTTTAATATCCCAACTACATTATTTCTGAGTTCTGCTTTCTTTCCCTCATCTGTGATCTGTTGACATGCTATTTCTGTTGCTACAATAAATTCATCATATGGTATTTTCTTTGGTGTTACTGCAAAGTTGAAACCTTTTTTTAATATGCTTTCTTCTGCTTCTGTTAGTTCGTATTGTGAAAGGTTACATGCCCATGAGCTTTGTGTGGTGTTATCTTGTGTTTCTTTTCTCTTTTTCTTGTTGATGAGTTTGTTTAACTTCTTTGTGTCTTTCTTTTACTTTTATGAACTCTTTTTCCTGTTTTTCCATCATTGGTCCTTTAATTTGTTCCTCTGTTTTTTCATCAAGTTTGTAATTCCTTTCTAAGTCCAGGTGTCTTCTTTCCAGTTTGTTATCCACTTGCTTCTGTTTGGTTGCGACATTTCTTATCCTTTCTTTGAGTAGAGCTTTCTGTGTTCGTTCCATTATGTTCTGTGCTGTCTTGGTCCGGATCGGTGTTTTCAGCTGTAGGCTTGTTGGCGTGATGTTTTCGTTCTGGCATCTTAAATTTAAGCGAAGGTGCTTCCTTAGACGTACACATTTTTGGTGTAAACGTTCCAAACGGCCGAAGTCCTTTGTTCCTTATTGTCCTTATTTTTCTTTAAACATCTTTGGTACGTTCTTTCTGTGTTTGGCTTCTAATTCCATTTTTGGTTCTTTTTTAAAACACAGGAAAGGTTTCCCTTTACCTTGCTGACAGTTTCGTTTGCGTCTGCAAACATCCTCAGAGCTGACGCTGATGGTGGCGTCACTTCCTACTCCGTTTATCTCCGCCACCATCAGCGTCAACTCTGAGGATGTTTGCAGACGCAAACGAAACTGTCAGCAAGGTAAAGGGAAACCTTTCCTGTGTTTTAAAAAAGAACCAAAAATGGAATTAGAAGCCAAACACAGAAAGAACGTACCAAAGAAATTTTACTACTCGTTTGATTTACTATCCGGGACTCACATAAAGCCACATGTATTATGTTTTATACGTCTTGCTGTGAAGACTGAAGAGCATGGATGAAAAATACACAATATTCAGTCTAAAAAGATTAAAGTGTAGTTTGTCTTTATGCTGAGATGTTTGAAAATGTTCTCTAAGTCACTATAAAGTTGGCCATGTGGAAAGCAGCAGCTACACTTGTGGGAAAGAAGTTCTGCAGTGATGTCATATATGCAACATCTGATTTGTCGATTTGTTAGGTCTCTGCACGACCGGTGTCAGCTTGGTCCACATTGCCGGCAGTATGTTGACTCTGCTGTCTTTTTTGTTATTTTTGGTTGTATGATCTGAGGACCTGCTCAAAAATGAGATGCCACATCTCAAGCGGTTTCTATCCTCACAAAATATAAGTTAAATAAAAAAATGAAGTCAGGCTCATTTTCGGTGACAGTTTGATGCCAAGGCTGCTCTTTGTCGCCGATTCTGTTCATAACTTTTATGGACAGGATTTCTAGGTGCAGCCAAGGTGTTGAGAGGATCCGTTTTGGTGGCCTGAGGATCAGGTTTCTGCTTTTTGCAGATGATGTGGTCCTGTTGGCTTCAACAGAACATGATCTCCAGCACTCACTGGAGCAGTTCACAGCCAGGTGTGAAGCAGCTGTGATGGAATCAGCTTCTCTAAATCTGAGACGATAGTCTTGAGTGGGAAAAAGATAGAATGCCTTCCCCACGTCAGGGATGAGGTTCTGCTTCAAGTGGACGAGTTTAAGTTTCTCAGGGTCTTGTTCATGAGTGAGGGAAAGATGGAGCGAGAGATCGATAGGTGGATTGGTGCTGCGTCTGCAGTGGTGCAGGTGATGTGAAAGGCAAAGCTCTCGATTTAC